GTTCTGATGCACTCAGATTTCGTCCAGTACAAGTTGAGACACAAACGCAGTTTTCTGCACATTAAAAAAGCATTTCATTGCTACTGGTATCTTTTGTACTAACCACTGTTGATGAAAATAGTGCTCACATTTTATTAGTACGAGCCTACAATAAATCAACATAAATGATGGGAAAACACCACTAGAAGTTCTCATATCAGTTGATATACTCATTAGCTACCGAATTTCCCAGAGGAACCCACCCGAGGGATTAATAAAGTTTTATCTTATCTCATCTTATCTTAGCTCATAATAAACTGTAATAAACTGACAGTTCATCTAAATCGTCAGCTAATGACACGACTGCATGAGTTTGTACTTGAAAATATTATAACTAATGAACCTGAAAGGGGCTAAAAGACATTTGACTTCCCATGTCAACCTTTTCCACAGTATACAAATAAATAACTGATGATGAAGGTGACTCTGGGAACCTGAGGAAGAACCTGTGTGGAAATCTGCGTATGAAAACTGGCGATGCTGCGATGAGGACAAACAGAAAACTGTTTCTCCTCAGATCGTGCCAGCTGTTAGCTCAGGTGTGTAAATGTGCGCCGCAGCTCTCTCGCCTTGAAACAGTTTTATGGAGTCTTTCCAAAGTAATCTTTTTAAAAAAATTGATAAACTTAATAAACCACATATATTCAAGATATATAAAAATGTATTTAAATATATTGTTGACATTTATATTAGATTTGAAACTTTAGTGTATGCACACTGTTAAATGTAGTGACAGATTGCTACTGTTAATCCACACAAGTCACAAGAATATTAATTCCTTCTAAATCTAAATGTCTGCCAGGCAGATATATGAATTTAAACCCATCTGTGATTGGCTTCTCCTCTGTGATCACTAGAACTGGAACATTTTCTGAATCATTATTGTTATATTAGAGCATTAATGACAAAATGTTTACACTGTGTCATTAATTGTTGTACATGGACACTTTGCTTATTATATGGTTTAAAAAAAAAAAAATACTAATAATTTAATTTGCCTCTGTGCACCAGTAAAGAGAAATTTGTGAAATGCATTTGCATTAATTAGAATTACAGTAATTTATGTCTAATAGTCCCTTATTTTCATATACTCTAAATTAACTGGATAATTGACTGGAAAACAGTTCCTGTTCCCTTCGTTATTTCATAACAAATTAAGCAGCTGTAATATCTGAAGTTGATTCAAAGTGTTGAATCTGTCTTTTAGAGCACGTCATTATAATTTCAAATATGAGGTACAAAGAAAAAAACGATCTAGCTGGTAAAGATCAAGCAATAATTTAATGTGACACGCCGGAGGGAATGTGGTGAGTATTTCTTTTGGAATTTGGAACAGAAATAAAAAGAATCGTATTAAAAGAGCGCAAAAAGATGTAGAGTGACATATGTGAGTGTGGCTGCCAGGAGAGGGCGCTATAGCCCACATTAACTGTGTTTGTTTGGGGATCTTTAGTTGTGCTGTTTTTACTGACACTGAATTCTGCTTGTAATTTCAACATGAAAGATGTAGTGATATCTAACAAATAAGCTAATATGTAACAATCGATCAATATAATTATAATCACATGTCATACTTAGTAGAATATAATACTGACAATAGATTTGCAATAGTTTTAACATAAAATCACTCATCAGAAGAAAGGATGAGTGATTTTATGTTAAAACATGTCCATTTTTAAACAAACCCTTCTAATTATCTAAACTACTGAAAAACTATTTCAGAAATGTCACACAGAGTTTCGCAAAACATCAGGTGAAGGAAACAAACAGGTTCCAGGAAGGATCAGGAAACAGGAAACAGGAAATTTGCCTTGTATGTAGTGACACACCTTTTTCAAAAGTGTGCTTGTCAGTAAATGACTCATCATTGACTGTTTACTGGTAACACCATCAACAAACATGATCAACGTTGCAATAATGCACAGTTTCACAGTAATTATAACTTTCTTACAGGCAGTAAGTCTTTAAAACAAGACGACATCGGTAACACAAAAATGGAAAAAAAAAAATTAACAATCACAATTCCAAAAAACTTGGGTTGTAACATAAATAAAAACAGAATGCGATATTTTGCAAATCTCATTCTTATCTTATTTCAATTTAAAAGTTGAGACAGGGCCATGTTCACCGCTGTGCAGCATTATCTCAGCATCAACAGTGGAGAAACATCTGGGAACTCAAGAGACCAGTTACATTTAGGAGACGATTTTGTTTGTTCTTTGTTTTTTTGTCTGATGTAGAATTCTAGCTGCTCAACAGTCTTGGGTCTCCTTTGTTTTATGTCTTGTTTTATGATGTGCCAAATGTTTTCAGTAGCTGAGAGGTTCTGAACTGTAGGCCGGGCAGTTAAGCAGCCAAACTCTTCTGTGAAGCCATGATGTTGTAAGAGGTGTGAGATATGGTTCAGCATTGTCTTACTGAAATATGCAAACAATTCCCTTAAAAAAAAGACATCATCTGGATGTGTTGCTCTAAAACCCGTATATATGTTTCAGCACTGATGGTGACTTTCCAGATGTGCAAGCTGCTAGTTCAATAGGTAATTCTGCACCCCATACCATCAGTAAGCATTTTGAGTCCTGATAACAAGATGCAGATAACAAGTATCTCTTCAGTTTCACTTTGTTTCAGCCCAGGTGAGGACCTGGTGTCTCTGGATCACATGACTCCTTCTTTGCATGCTAGAGACCTGCATTAGTGGATGGCATGGTGAACTGATTCAGGCATCAGGAATCACGTCTTTAATGCACTGCCACCTGAGGGCCCAAAGATCATGGAAACTTTGTCCCAAATTCCTAAAATCTTTCGCCAGGTTATGGGCTATGGTTATGTACAGTAGATAAAAAGATATTCAAAGTCTTTATTCTGAAATTTATTCACATTTTATAGACAGTTTTTTGCAGATTGTTGAACCTCTGCCTATCTTTATAAGCGTGAGAAACCCTGCCTCTCCGAGATGCTCTTTTTAAACCCGATCATGTTACTGAAACGTGGCCAGTACCGCTCATTCTCTTCTTGCACCCCTCCCAACTTTTTCGAGACAAGTCTAAACACATCTGATACATTTTCTATGCTCTGTTGTGAATAAAATATGCATTTATGAACCATTGCATTCTGTATCATCGTTGCTATTTATTTATTGACATTTTAAATTGGGTCTGATTGAACTGGGGTCTGCGTAAACCAGTCATATACCAGTTGCATTTGGTAAAGTAATTCAAAAAACTAGTAGATAAGTCATCAGGCTAGTAAAAGTACTAGTCTTCCTAAAAGGTCGACAGCAAGTAATGTGTGCATTTAAGCAGCTCCTACACATTTGCAAAGAGAAAAGAAGCAATTAAAGAATAAGTAAGAATTTGATCTGAAGGTTGGAAGTACATCAGAATGGAGCGAGAGCCTCATTCACTCTTTTATTCAAGTGGAAAAACACTAGTATTTATTTAAACTTTGCTAGTCTTAATGAACACTGCTTTAAGCTATTATTCAATTCAATTCAATTCAATTTTATTTATATAG